ACAATCACTTATGAGCCACTGTCACATCTTATACAGTGAGATTCACACGAACTGGGAGGACACCGCAAGCTCGTCCCATCGCAGGGCGAGCCACGAGGCGGGACATTCAGCGCGATGGAGATCAACCAGCGGCAACTGCTACCCGAAACAGCAAATTCGGGTTTTGTACACATTAAACCCTCCCTGGGTGGATTCCAAAGTTACGGTCCTCTTATTGTGTTCTTCCTTGGGAATTAAAACGGGCGTACTTGGGCGGGGACATCGCTGAATCCACCGTCACAACAAATAGTACCTCGTGAGGGGTTTGAATCTATTCACGTGAACCTATTCCAATACCGGAACATTTTATTACCTTTGTTTGACTTAAGTCTACGTCACCGACCATTGCAGTAGGTTAAATAAGCAGTCCATCTCATGGGAATGCTGCAATGCACTCACGTATCATAGTTTATCTCAAACAGGCAGCCATTGACGCAAACTTAAAGTCAACATAACCCAAAGAATTTACCACGGGTTTAGTAGTTGCATATAAATAAAGAAAGTGCATCCTACCACATCACGCGGCGCCGTTTAAACTTAATTTATCTGTCTTAAACTTTCCGCACCTTGTCGATAAATGTTTCGATAATATTGGTAACTGAAATGGACTGTCGTTGTTGTTTAAAATTAGCAATAAGTGTACCCTCACTGGGCTCAACGTCTCTAAAGTTTGCTTAATTTCAACTTTTTCGCTTCATCCTCGCGTTCATTTTAATTCCTACTCCATTCTCTTCTAGTCTTTACTCTTTGAACTTGTTTTACTGGCGTTTATCTTATTCCCGGGCTTTTTTCTCCGAGATATTCCAGCGTACATGCACTCGGTACGGATACACCATTTATTTATTAGGACGCCACTTTCTGCACACGGCAAACGAATTTGCAAGTCAAAATATTCAGGTTTGGGGAACCTGTTCTCCTCCACAAGATCTTGGTTGCATTTTACTAAATTGTCATAAAGGTTCGAATAATTCGGTTCCTGGCTGAGCCTGACACAATCATTCACAGTTTACTATATCCGTTTGACTCACATAAATATCCAAAGGCGGGGTATTTTGTAGAAGTTAAAGTCGAAAACTATGCAATCCTAAAATAGCAGCATGTTTGTTGGCATGGTTTGTTGGTACAGCGGGAATTTCAATAGTAAAGACAAATCTGGATAAACATCGTTTTGCTCCATATACAGAAATCAAACTATGTTCACATTTTGGAAGAAAAATAAACTTGTTTTATACATAACCATTGTAAGTAATTTCTATTCAAAAAGTGATAAATTTACCTATTTTGTTATCTGAATAACGTTTAACGTCGAATTTTGTCGGAAAAGCTGACATAAAATCTTTCACGTTCATGTGGTCCGACGTTTTTGTGGTTTAGTACAGCCTTGAGATAAAATTCCAGTTTAAAGTTTAAAATCGATTTGTACGCGCATATATTTCAGATATAAGTAAATTAAACCTTTGCGTTTTGCGTTCTTCGGCGTTTAGCCATTTTCATTTTCGCCATTTTTTGCTGCCTTTCCAGTCGCTTAACTTGTGGACAATTAATAGGGTACTTTAGGCCGTCGCCTATACTCATCGAGTTTCGAATCCACTGATAATGCTCCCTCCAGACACAATCTTTGCAGCCGATTTCGTCCCTTAAAACTTTTCAATCGTCATTTCAACATTTGGGTGGCCCCGATAGTTTTCCTGTTTTGCAAGGCTGACGACGGTTTTCTCCGTCAACCACACAGTATCATACTCAGACGATGGTCTTCTCGGTCCTTCCTATTTGACCATATGCGAACTTTGACGATATCGTGAGCTCTCGCATCTGTTGACCCTTGTGACCATCATGTACGCGTCCTTTTACCGTTCTCTCATGGTTGAGAATCTTGACGGGTACTTCTGCTCTCGCAACCTCGTCTGTGGACACTGCCATCAGGTAGGGCCTATCACGTTCGCATCTACGACACTGGTTTTGATCCTCGTGATGCCTACGGTGCCCTCTTGCTCCGATCCTAAGCGTACTGATTATGCTCACGATGGGTTGCCCTGTCTCGCCCTTCTAACGGTTAACTTACAGCAGCTCACATCTTATATAGAAGATTGCGTTCCAGTTTTTCCCCAGGACCCAGCATCCACTCCTAACGACAAGACGTAGACCTGTTCGCGACATTTGAGCGTTGCGTTTCCTAAGTTCGTTTTCTGATTTAGCCTGATATGTCTCCCTTTGTTCATCTCTAATTATTGGGCTTTAAATATGTTTTAGATAGTCCCTCTCGGCCTCAGGAACGCTGAAATAACTGAAGCAGAAGCAGTATTCGCGTTTTTATTATCTTATGTTCAGTATAGTGAATCGGTACAGTTGACCTGCATGTTGACTGAAAAGTAAATTTACTTCAAGCCGGAATCATAAGGGAACAACTGGTAGTTAAGTGCACAAATTCCAAAAGGAATTCCAAAAGAAAAGGTGTGGAGAGCAGATTTTAATCACAATGAGTCTACTTTTTACGGAATAAGCCTCAACCAAAAGGGTTTCTCATCATCATCGTCATCATCCTCATCAGCATCGTCGCCATCTTTATCATGTTTGTGGTTCCTGCGACCACGTTTGCCATCGTCCTTGTCATCCCCGTCGTCATCACCATCGTCATCGTCTTTATCACGGTTGTTGTTTCTGCGGCCACGTCTGACATTTTGCTTGACATCATCATCATCATCATCATCATCATCGTCGTCGTCATCGTCTTTGTCATGGTTGTTGTTTCTGCGACCATGTTTGCCATCGTCATTGTCATCATCATCGTCATCATCTTTATCACGCTTGTGGTTCTTGCGACCACGTTTGCCATTGTGCTTGACATCATCATCATCATCATCATCATCATCGTCGTCATCTTTATCACGGTTGTTGTTTCTGCGACCACGTTCGCCATCGTCCTTGTCGTCATCATCATCGTCATCATCATCACCATCTTTATCGCGCTTGTGGTTCTTACGACCACGTTTGCCATTGTGCTTGACATCACCATCATCATCGTCGTCATCATTGTCGTCAACATAATCGTCTTTATTACCGTTGTTGTTTCTGCGACCGCGTTTGCCATCGTCCTTGCCGTCATCATCATCGTCCTCGTCATCGTCGGCATCTTTATCACGGTTGTTGTTTGTGCGACCACCTTTGCCGTCGTCTTTGTCATCGTCGTCATCATCATAGTCATCGTCGTACAGTCCACGCCAGTATCTTTCATATGCCCTTCCCACATTCCTTCCGTGCTTCCTATACTGTGATCTTCTGTAGGCTTTGCCCATGTCGGCCCACAAGCCGATGAGTAGGAGCACCTCGAGAAGAATGACGAGGAGACGCATGATGCTCGATCCGGATTAAATTCCATGCAGATTGCACCAGTGTTTGGTATTTTATAGGTTTAGCCAGCCTCCTAAAATAAACAGTCGATCCGGCTATGCATATGGACGACGGATGCACAGGTGCGCATTCGTACCTCTGACACGCCTGTTACACATGTCTTACAACCGAATAATGGCCAATTGGTGTGCATACAAACACATAGGCTCGAGACTACGGAGTGTTGATGAGGGAGTTGAGCCTTCGCTACACAGGTACAACGGCAACGTGTATACTTGACAGTTAAGTTTCCTGTAGATAAAGCAAAGTATTTCTGCCAACGCTAGACTTAGGGCTAATCTGTTTCAGCATAAATTGAATTGTGTACGGGCAGCGTGGTTTGCGCTCATTCTGCCAATGTTACATGCTTCGGGCAGTTTCTGTCAAGGCCCTATTTACCGTCTGATCGCCTACGCCGTCATGATTCTGTTTATTGCTAGTGCGGCTCATCCCGCAGTCCATCGCATCAACCTTTCTGACGTCTACTAAATGTCGTGAAGCCAAATGTACGTAGTACAAGGAACTATGTAGGTAGTTATGCAACGGAACTAAGAATATGGTGGCATCTATAAGGTACTGTTGCCTAGCGCATTTATATCGGTCAGCGCTGCAGCCTTTTCCTTAGCCCATCGCGGTGATCCCTTCTGACATATTATAGACTGTATATCTTTGATTCGTGGTCATTCAATTTCCGGCCACCTACTGCGAATATTTTTGGCTTATTATTGTGTCAATATCCATTCATTACGGGTAGATTTGCCCTTATATTTGCCTACAAAATGAGCGTATTGGAATTTGATCGATTCCTGTCAGGGTCACGCAGGAAATCTTATTGGCAAACCCCACGCCTTCTAACGTCCTGTTTGACTACTTATCCCTTCTGGCTTCTGGCAGACATACCTTAAGTGTACCCGATGTCGTAGTCAACAGAAACTGTTTCATAAAAATTTTATTTGGTTGATTTGATGCAAAATAGGTTTGCTTAACAGTGCTGTATTTTCTGGGGAAAAAAATGCTGACACATTGACGCACTGCTTCCGTAAATCAACAGTTAATTTGCCGCAAGATTCAGTTTACATACTCGGACAGACGAAAGATATATTTGAGAGGAAACACTCTGGGCTTCATTGACTACATTAAAACTGACCATGGTGGACATCAAGCAACGCACTAAGGGTTGTTCCTGTGTGGTAGTGCGGATTCCTATTTGTTGGAGTCTTTGCGCCATATACTGGAGATTAATGCTTGCACATTTGAGTGGTATATTTGAGGGTAAACAACTTCGCCGGGAGGGGTGCCTTATCCCGAGCGATCAGTAAACTTTCATCAACTAGTGTCAATATTCCAGAGCTACATAGGCAAGGCAGTGAGCCCGGGGCTCAATGGTTAGAGTATTTGCATTCTGATCGGGTTCGAGCCTCGGATAGTACACAGCTTGGGCTTCGGCATGACCTTTTTATGACGGCTTATTAACCAGAAATGGCCACATTTCAGCCTCCCTTGTCTTTGTCGGCAATGCATATCCCTGTGCGGCTACTAATACGGCTCGAAAATGAACCCCACGGCAAAGGAGAACATGTTAGAGAGGCATAAACCTTCATACAAGAACTCACCTCAAACACAGCCAGTGTTGTGATAATAAAACTGCTAAACATCAGTGAAGCTTTATTGTGCCATGGATTTCTATCAAGCATAGTATTTTTAGCACACATGCAAGACTGGTGCTTCTCGATGAAAAGCCTGTTACATACAGTAGACGTCAAAGATCACGCAGAATTTCAACATATGCAAATAACTGATACTCTTTCGCTAATCGGCATTGAGTCAAATTGTGATACTGATTATCCTGTAGTCTATTCTGAAGTCATTTCAGTCATGATA